CAACGATTATCATTTATTGGAATTAATAATTAATTAATAAGTGTAATTCCTAATAAATGATAACTGTTGATTGACGAAAATCAACGGTTGGATTTGGTGTCAAATTTCAAAATTTGACACCGGTGTCAAAGGATCTTATCCCTATATATATATATATATGGGAAAAACTACTCTCATGCTACATGTGATAAATTTCTCTCCTACATACCCTTCGATAACTGTGCCACCTTTTTCTTTTCTTTTATTTTTATTTTTCAGGTGGTGGAGCCCACAAGTTTATCTCTATGACATGAGAAAACTTATCTCCTTTAACATGAGATTAATAAAAACCTATATATATATATACATATCTATATATATATATACATATATATATAGGGGTCCCATTGCAAACTTTTTCTCTCCTTTCATTCATTTTTTTTCTCTCATCAATTATTCTCTATGTAGGAAGTAATCATTATCTCATGTAAAATGAGAAAAGTATTACCCATATATATAGGGTTTAATGAGCATAATGTTGCATGATGTAATAAAACTTTCCTACACTCACAATAAAGAGGAGAGAGAAAGTAAAATAATGAAAGAGACAAAAAAAAACATGTGGATTCCACCTCTTAATTGTGTGTGTAGGAAAGTTTTCTTAGGTCATGTAACATTATACTCATAAAACCCATATATATATATATATATATATATATGGAAAAAGTATTCTTATGTTACATAAAATTAATTTTTTCTCCTCCACACATTTTGATAACTATGCAATCTTTTTCTTTTTCTTTTTCAGGTGGTGGGACCAAATATTTATTTCTATGATATGAGATAACTTATTATTTTTAACATGAGATTAATAACACCCTATATATATATGGTTAAATTTTTCTACAGCCAAAATATATATATATATATATATATATATATATATATATATATATATATATATATTTCTACAGCCATTTTAGATAAGGTTGTCTACAACTACCCTTTTTAACCAAGTCTGCCTAATAAGACATAAAAATTGCATTTTCTCTCTCCGCCACATCAACCGACAATATCTGAGGAGAGAAAAAAAAATAGCTTTATTGTTATAACTATATCTTACTGGTTAAACTTAGTTAAAAAAGTGTAGCGGTAGATAATGTTATTTAAAGTAGTTGTAAAATTATTTTTTTCATATATATATATTTGCAAAATTTTTATTTACAAATTTTTACAAAGTACACTAAGTATAACTAGTCATACTTCAATCAAGAGTGTATGACCGGTCATACTTTGTGTAATTTGTAAAAAAAAATGTAAATGAACCATTCCCCTATATATATATGGAAAAATATTTCTCAAGCAGCTTGAGATAAGTTTATTTCCGGCCACCCCAAAACTACGTCGTTTTATTTATTTATTTCCTTATATTAATTGATTCACTTTTGAATGGTTATGATTCTCTTTTTCTCTCTCTTCCTTTATCACCATTGATCTGTCTTTGTACGGTTATGATTTTGTAGGCTGAGATAAAATTATCTCAAACAACTTGAGAAAGCATAACTCAAACACATTGAGAAACGATAATCCCATACATATATATATATGGTATTTTTGCTTATATAGGGGATAACTCAAACTCAAACATTTGATGTTCTAGTTTCATGTAATCCTAATTCTATTTTTGCTTATATATATGGTATTAGAGGTTTTGGCTTAGGCGCGGCTAACCATATGTTTGGCTAGAGGTAGATTGGGTACTCAAAGAGTCTTCCATTGAGAAGAATCTTATTAATGCGAGATTCACAATTTGGGGGGAGGGAAGAGCCTAGGGATATTCAAGTGTGATGGAATCTCACATTAGTTGGTAATAGACTAAGTGAATACTATATAAGTGAAAAAATATATCAACCTAATGTCTTAATATTTTGAGTTAAGATGTGATATTGAACTCATTTATTATGATTACACTTACTTAGCTCATTGGTCATGATACTCATCAAAGGACAAATTCAGTTAATATATACGTGTGAAAAATTGTGTATACTAGTACAAACCGTTTACAGTTGAAATAGTACTATAATCGTTTACAAATAGTTAATTGCAATGAAATTCAAAGGCTTACTTTATAAAATTAGTTAATATTAACATGCATGACTTAAATATGAGATTTCTTGACAAATTCTATTAAAATGTTGCTCAAGAAAAAGAAGAAGAAGTTATTAAGTAAAAATTGAAATAATAAAAATATTCAATATTCATTTTTAAGCAATTAAAAATAGTTAATAAAAATTTAATTTTTTAAACTAATCTGTTTTAGGATAAAATTCAAATACCTTCCATGTATTTTACTCTGAAATCACATACTTCCTAATATATATTTTTTTATCAATTAGTTTTTTTCATTCAAGTCAATTTAAACACTGTTTAAAAAAATATATAAATTGTTTATTTTGTCCCTGTGAACAATAAATAAAACCTGAACAACTTGCGGTCCAAGATAAAAATCCTGAGATTAGAAAAACAAAGATAGAATAAGTTGAAGAGCAAGAAATGAAATGGTGAATTTGGGTTAAGAAATTTGATTTTTATAATAATCATAAAATTTCATAATGAATTTTCACTTATGAACAATCATTAAAAATCATATAAATAAGAATAAGTATCTTCAATAACTTGTGTACAAAACAAAAGTTATTTTTTCAAGATAAAGTTTACTTGACAAGCAAAACTTTTAAAACATTCAAATCTCAAGTGAGAATTGAGAAGGTAGCGTCGAGGCAAATCGCGCCTAAACAACTTCCATGCTGTGCTTTTGAGAATTGAGAAGATCTTGTGATCTTATTGTGCTTGAAGAAAATTTGGAACCATAAGAAAAATCCAACCAGGCCTGGAAAAAAAAAAGTCTTCGGAAAGTTTCCAGTTGTGTTGTAAATGAAATGGACACAAATATATGCTAGAAATGAAGATTATAATTCAGAAGCCTAGAGAGAGAGAGAGAAAATCCTACGGAACCTTGTCTATCATCTTCCTCTTAAGGGGTTAAGTGATTTTAAAATAAATTACATGAAAGACATTTTTTTAGTAAACTTTTTTAATAAATGTGTAAAATATTTCTTATTCTTATGTTAATTTTTCATCTATTCCTCTCTTGGTAGGTTTTCACAAATTTTAATTGAAAACCTATTCAATATCTATAAAATAAAAAGATATAAACTCAAAATTTTTATGATTATATAAAGAAATCCCATTAGAGAGTGCATTGTTATTTCTTTTAATAATTAAAAAGATAAAATTATTTTCCACTAGATATAATTTAGTATGGCAATTCGGGATGACAATTCGGGATGACTCAAAGAGTTGAAGTTTGTGGGATATTCGAATGACAACTCGCCTCAAAAAGATAATTATGATCAATATATCAAAAAAATAATCTTCTACACATGTAAAAATACATGAGAGGATGAGTCTATATATTTTTATGTGTGTATAGAAAATAATTTTATTTTTTATAAAATGAAAAAATTAATTAACGGAGATGGAGAAATAGATCTAGAATGCTAGTGCTAACTTCCCTGCAGCTAAAAAAAACACTTTCCCTATAGAGTGGAGGTTATTGGAGACGAGTGAAGGAAATTACGAGGGGTAGACCTAAGGAAGGAGCATAGTAAATGAACAAAGAGTAAAGGGAGAATGATTGAATGAGATGGGATCCACAGTTCACATTATCTTTTCTTTGTTGCTCGCTCGGTCCTTCAGTTTTTTTGACTTGGGTGTTTGGGTCCCACTCCGGGCCCTACAGTCTTTATGGCTTTAATGAGTTGTATTATCAGCAACACCGCACGTGGAGTCTGAATCAAGCTACTCTCCAACAATCGAATTACACCCTGTAATACCATCTTTTTTCCATTTTCAATTCGGATCTGGATCTTCTAACGTAAAAAATAACATGTTTATGTTATGTGAGAAATCATAATCATACAAAAGTAGATCAATAGTAATAAAAGAAGAAAAAAAATATATATTAAAATAGATAATTACAAAATCATAACCGTTTATTTTTATATGGTTATGATTTTCTCACATGACCATGTCATGTTTTTTTTTTTTCGACCGATCCATTTCCAATTCTATTTCATTTCCTTTTCTTTCCCTTCTTATAATTTTCAAAGCAATCCTCACAGAATTTCGGATATTCTCCCCCCAAATCAATCTTGTTTGTTGTCTCATTTTGTGTCTTTCAACTTTGTTTTTGTTCATAAATTTTGATTATTTTCTTATAAACAAATTGTGTATTTTGTCTGAGAAATGTTTTAAACATTTCATTCCATATAATTTTTAAACTCAAGAAATATTTGAGAATACTTGAGAAAGTAAAAACAAAATTCCTTAAATTAAAATCTGAGACTTATATTTCAAGGGCTCATTTGGTGGACATGATAGGATAATGGTAGGATATGATATGGGACTGATAAGGGTAGAATATGATATAGGGCTGATAAGCCTATATTATATCATGTGTTTGATGAGCACCTGATTAGCAATTTGATAAAATTATGTAGAAGGAGAATGAAAAAATAAAAAATAAAATAGAATGCAATAAATACAAATATATTGGGTAGAGTGAGGATATATTGGGTAACGTGAGGATATATTGGGTATTTAATATTGGCATCCTATCATGTTGAATCCTAACACAGCTCCCTCCATAGGATAAGAAATCATATATTGGATAGGATAAAATGAGACAATAAGATAAGCTAATCATATCCTATTGACCCACCAAACAAGAAATAAAAATAAGATATGATAAGTTATCTTATCCTATCTTCGTTATCAGTGCTCCAAACAGCCCTAATATTATTCAAAGTGAGAAAACTGTCGTAATAAATTTAGTGAAAGAAACCACTCAATATCAAGAAATAAAAAAAAGGTCAACATATTTAAGATTTACAGTGCCCTTATTATTCTCACTCATTATTTTTGTTGCTTAAAGCTTGCCCTGTTCTCCATTGGCCTCTATCATTTTCTCTCTCTCTCTCTCTATATCTTTTTCTTTGCAAAGAGAGAACAACTCAGCTGGCAGCTCCTATCAGAATCCACAAAACACATACACAAAGAAAGAAAGACAGACCCACAAGCTAGCCCACTATGCGATAACACATACCCAAAAGAAAAAGATGTTCTAGAATTATGAGCATATCACTATAGCTGCTATGCTACAATAAGAGAGAGAAAACAAAAAGTTCTTTTATTTTTTTATACAATAAACCCCACCCAAATTTTTTTTTTTTTTTTTTTTTAAATCTTTATAGAGAGAGAAAGAGAGAGATTAGTATATGATATTCGATCATGGAAGCTGATCATCAAAATGGGATCCGCAGACCCAATTTCCCATTGCAACTGTTAGAGAAAAAAGAAGAACAACAAGAACAACCACAACCACCCTCAACCGCCATCGTACACGGTGGTGCATGCGACGGCGTTTCCAAGAAGCCGCCGCCGAAGCGGGCCTCGACGAAGGACAGGCACACCAAGGTGGACGGCCGCGGCCGCCGGATCCGCATGCCGGCGGCCTGCGCCGCAAGAGTGTTCCAGCTGACGAGGGAGCTCGGCCACAAGTCCGACGGCGAAACCATCGAATGGCTGCTCCAGCAGGCGGAGCCAGCCGTGATCGCCGCCACCGGAACCGGCACCATTCCCGCCAACTTCTCTTCCCTTAACATCTCGCTTCGCAGCTCTGGCTCCACCTTATCATCACCCTCCCACTACTTCAGAAACAACAACAACAACAACAACAACAACTACTTCAACCCCATAACAACAACAACAACAACAAACTTCTCCGCCACGCGGAACCGAAGCGAGTGGGAGAGAAACATGGTCGTAATTGAAGATTCTAGAAGGGCCTTGTTCCCTGACAATTCTTCTATATCTTCTTTTCTGAATTTCAACTCTGCTGCTAATAATAACTTAAATGCTGCTCTGCATGCAAAGCAAGAGCTCCGGGAAGAACCCGGCAACGGTTTGGGAAGAAAGAGAAGACAAGAACAAGAAACGTCTCTGAGTCAGATAGGAAGCTATTTATCACAGTCAAGTACAGGCTCGGTTCCGGCGAGTCATGCTTCAATTCCGGCGAATTTTTGGATGATGAGCGGTGGTGGCGGCGGTGGTAACATTGGTGGTGATCCCATTTGGGCAATTCCCTCTATTGGGAATAGTAATATGTATAAAGGGTCCATGTCTAGTGGTGGTAGTAGTGGTGGCATTCATTTTATGAATTTTGCTTCTCCAATGTCTTTATTGCCTAATCAACATCTAGGTTCTGGCATGGTTGGTGGTGGTGGTATGGTAACTGAAAGCAACTTAGGTATGCTTGCAACCCTTAATGCCTATAGGCCTTATTTGGCCGGCGGTGGCGGCAGCGGTGTTCCGGAATCTTCGACAAATGCCGGACAACATCAGCATCATGGAGGAGATGAGGGACATGAAACAACGTAGTACTCAACATCAATTCATGAGGGTCAAATGATAACAAGTGTATGACCTGATGCTAGTTTCTTATTAATTTCCTTCTACTACTACTACTTTTATCAGTACTTTTGGTTGCAACACATGCAGGCACAAGTTTGATTGCTTTGATATTGAGTTCAATATTCAATTTTGGTGTGATTTTGCTGAGGATCCATCTTAGGGTTTGAGAAGAAACATACGTATATTTTAACAAGGGTATTCGACAATAATTGCTATGCTATATATAAAGGTACTTATATTTATTTAGTTTCTTATTAAATTTAGATCGTGGCTTTATGATCTGGGATTTGTTGCTTGGCACTGCATTATCACCTGTCATTTGGTTTTAGTACATATGCAAGCTTTAACGTTTCTTATGAATGAATGAATTAATTATGTACCTAAAAGAGACATGGAACATTGGCTCATTAATTAATTAGCTTCATTTTTTTGGGGGTGGTTAATTAATTAGCTTCATTTAGAGGAAAGCTGGTTAGGATTATTAAACTCAATAATATATATAACTATCTATTAATATTGCCGCAAAATATTATTAAGGTAAATGTGGTCTTTTGTAAAGAAGATGTTGGCCTTATGATCTGGGGTGAGTACTGCAGCACTGTCACATGCATGGTGCATCGTATTGCTGCAGTTGTGAATTATGTATCTGTGTACCACATTCCCATAGCTAGGGACCAATGTCATATTGGTGCTAATTTGTACGAAAAAGCCCACCCTCGTAACCTGATCAGGACCTTTGAGTTAGTTCCTAAACTCAGGTGGTGATATTAATTGGTGACGTCGATCCATTGCCTAAAATCTGATAGAGTCACTAGCATAAACAAGAGCTTCATTCTTTCTCCTTCTCATACAAGATGGATGCATACGCTAGCTTGGAACCATAATTAGCTATAGTTTCTTTTGTACGGTGGTAAGATTAGTGGTAATGATCTTCTAGGCTATGAGCTCATCATTCATCACCCTTGTGTACCCTCCTCTCCCTCCATTATTTTGAACTGTTGTTTTCACAAATAGCTGAAATAAGCTATAGCTACTGCAAAATTAGGTTTTCTGAGATGATAAAGTGAATGGCTTGTGTGACTTTTAGCTTCAGCCCCACTAGCTTAATTTATTATTGTTGTCATATATATATATATATATATATATATATATATATGGGAAGGATCCGTTTACAAAAAAAAATTTACAAATTTTTTCAAATTATACTATGTACTCTCGGGAGAACATAGTGTAGCAAGAGTTTGTAAGCAAAAAGTTTGTAAACAAAAAGTTTGTAAATATAACTCTTTCCATATATATATATAGAGGCAGGATCCTTTGACACCGGTGTCAAATTTGAAGTTTGACACCTCATCTGAGAGCCGTTAGATCAAAAAAGATCAATGGTGTCACATGCTTACAAATCAGAGTCGTTGATCTTTTTTGATCTAACGGCTCTCAGATGAGGTGTCAAACTTTAAATTTGACACCGGTGTCAAAGGATCTTACCTCATATATATATATATATATTAGGACGTACGTTAGGCTTTTAGAAAGCTTTTAGTTTAACCAAATGGAGGTAGCTCAGTTAGCACATGGGAGCTGAGCAGGTAGGGATGAAAGTATGTGTTTGATATTTCTCAATATCACCTTTGGGAGCGATTTAAAGCCTTAATTTTGAACTCGTCCCAAATTGGACTAGTCGCGAAACGATGAACCGATTGAAATATTTCAAAAAAAAAAAAAAAAAAAAGCAAGCTTCTAGTTTGTTATCCTTTTGGCTTGTTATCATATTCATTTGCATGCTTCAATAATCTTTACACAGGATGCTCTAGTTTGCATCATATATGAATTAAGAGCATAACAATTTTATTTTTTTAATGACAAGTGTTGCCTATATATCTGCATATGTAAATGGATTGGGATACCTGTCCTAATTAAATATAATTAATTTAAACATATCGACCGTTAGTAGTTGTGTTAGAAGATGCTCAATGACTTAAAAGAGAAAAAAATATAATTCTTAAACCAAACCTTACTTTTTGGAGTGAAAGCGTTTAACTAGTTATCTTTTCTATTGTTCACTCATATTTGGAAGTTGACTCAGCATATATATGAATATTTCTTCATTTTTATCCTACATGTGTAAGATTATCATAAATAAACTTTCTTTTTATTAATTAGATAGAAAACCTTTTAGACTTGGGATAAAGAAAGGAAAAAGGGAAAAATGAAACGGGACAGATTAATATTAAGTATATATCTTGTTATGAAGATTATGATCAAGGTGTGAACCACCTCATATCTAAGACGTGAATAATTTTAATGACAATGTCTACTTTATATTTAAATCTCCAATAATTAAATTAATAAATAATTTTTTTCTCTTAATTAAGATACATCATAGCCATAAAGTCTCTATCTAATTATATAAATCATACCAAGGAACTAAAATATTTACATTTTACAGGTATTACATGGCGGTTATGTGAGCTTTTAATTTTGGTGCTGAAATTTTGGGAAAATGAACTAACTAGACTCTGCCAAAAGAACGTTAATCCCCGGACCCGCCCAGAATCGAACTAGTCGCGAAGTATTGAACCGATTGGAATTTATCCAAAAAATACTTCTAAAGAAATGTTAAGAACTAAATGGAAGGATATATAAATATGGGGACTCTTCAAAACAGTAACAAATTCTTTAGTTATTCCCAAAAAAGTGTATGTTTAGTTGAAAGAAAAGATACTACAACATATAGTTGTATACGGTGCATTCGGGAAGGATGAATTGCTCTCAAAAAGGAATCTATTGATTCTCTCCCAATTGGTTGGACCGTGGGTGCAATGATTTACTTCACGGGCAAGGTCTCTGGTTCAAGTCCAAGAAGTTGCAAAAAGTTTGCAAAAGAAAGAGCTTCAAGTCCAATGAGCTATTTGCGACATGACGTGTTAAAAAAATATAAAACTATTAATGTAGTCTTACCCAATAACTCAAGTTATTAGGTGAAATGGTTGCTTAATATCGTCGGTGACTATGAGGTCACGAGTTCGATCCTCACCGCCTCCCATTTTCTAGTGGAATTAAGATAGTACAAGGTAGAACTAAAAAGGCTCTTGCGTGAGGAGTGTATTAGTGAAATATAATATGAAAACAACCACTGATTGAGTTATCTCATGCGCATATAAAAAATGGGTGGGACCTTCCTTTTTATTATATGTGTATGAGATAATTTTATCTCATATGTAACATGAGAAATATATTTTCCGTTCATTTATTGATAAAACTAGCTATTAAGTGTCGAACCCATCAAGTTTCCTTATAATTGGCAAACTTCTTTGAGACATGATAGCTCAAATAATTAATTTAAATCAAAATATGTAAAGGACTTAATAGTTTTTTTGCATTTATATGGCATTTTAAGCTCCACGTCAAATCAGCTTTCATTTTTGTACTATATTGTTAAGCTGAAGCTTAATTCGTTCAAAATGGGAATGCATACATCTGATCTCATATATTGGACTAAGGACTGCTGTTTTTCTTTATTCTGCAACAGATACCTATCCTTTTATGACAATGTTGTTACTGCGCGAAATTGAAGACAAACTTGAATAAAAACAGAAACTCATTAAGGATCACCCGAAATAATTAATGGTTGGATTGATTAGAATGTGGGGTAACAGAATTTCAACACCCACATGTATGCACTTACTCAACCACTCATATTTCCGCTTCTATGTTAACATAATTAGCACTTTTTCCCCTGCTTTACTGATACATATATTGCCCAAAAGAAGAAAAGGCCATGTACATAATTAATTAATCGTACATTTCTTCGCTATCTATATATAGCAATTGAACATTTTGGAAGGTGCTGCATGAAGCACTGATGATGATACGGGGTTAATAAAGCAACTAAATGTTTACTGTCATTGCTGGAGCGGTTGAAGATAATAAATAGGATTTACAAACTCAATAATAAAATCGGGTTGTTTGTATTTGGTATTAATTATTTGTGTAGGGATTAATGTTTTTCATGTTGTAGAAGATAATTTTATTTATTTTCTACAGACGTATAAAAGTGTGTGGGGTCTCACATGTGCCCCACACACTTTTATATGTCTGTAGAAAATAAATAAAATTATCTTCTATAATATAAAAAACATTAATCTCATTTAAGCTCTAGGTAAATTATTTGCTCAGTTAGGGTTGTGATGAAGCTGATCTAGCTACTTTCAAGTATGAAAACAATCAGAAGATGTATATCTTTTCTCAAGGATCGGAGGTATATTAACAACCTGTTTGATATAATTAATTTTAAGCTAAAAACTACAATAAAAAGTTTAAAAAATAAAGTTAAAAGCTATTTGATAATTATATAAAATTATTCTGATGATTTTAAAAGAAGGAAGATGAAATAATTTGTTATTAGGATAAATTATAAAATTTATAAATACAAATTTAGAATAAAGATAAAACTCAAAAATAAATACGAGAACTCTAAAAAAACTATCTTACGTCTTAAAAAAAAGCTCTTCATATGAGTTTTTATCTTTTAGGTTTTTTCATGTTTGATTAAGCTTTTGATTTTAAAAGAAAAAGAGCTAAAAATAAAACATATCAAATCAGCACTAAAGAAACAAGCAGCATTTGGTAGCTTCAGAAAGAGAAAATATTCTCAAATATGTAAAGAGGGAAAAACTATTCTCATGTTACATGAGATAAGTTTTTTTTTCTACACATCTTTTGATAATTATGTCATCTTTTTCTTTTTTCTTTTTTCAGGTGGTGGAGCCCACAAGTTTGTCTTTATGACATGAGATAACTTATCTCCTTTAACATGAGATTAATAAAATCCATATAAATAATGTTTAATATTTTTTTTTTTTTTCTGCTGAATTTTTCTTCTTCTACACTCGTATAAAAGTAAGTAGGCCCTATTAATATTTTTTCTTTCTTCTCTTTATAATAGGATCCACTCACTTTTATATAAGTGTGACAGAAATTTTTTTGCAATAGCAAAATCATAAATATTTTTCAAATTTAAATATAATTAAACTGGAAGCTAAGAATAAGTTCAAATTTTCCGAGGTCACTTCATCACAAAAACATAATAATATAGTCAGAAAACTAATAAGTCAACTTTTGAATATTTGTTGTCATATTTTAGTTTTGAGTCTGATGCGTGCAGCCTGTCCGCAAGCCAAAAATATACCATGTATGGATAAAATTGAACACTTCCAGATTTCTGAAAGAAAAATCTTGACATGTTTAAACAGCGTAACTCATAAACAACGTCCTGTAACTAAACCCAGGTCCAAGACCAAATGAAATGATTCCTTAAAAGTATAAACCTTATCAACATCTATGTGACCCAAGAGCTAAACCCAACATTCGAATTATGTAAGCCCAAGAGTTGTGAATATTTCTATCCCAACATATAAGCAACATCGTTTTACCATATGCAAAAAACATTTCAATCAAAAAGCTTGAGTTTTGATTGACAATATACAGGTCCATTAATTATGTGTTGAGAAATTTTAAAATTAAATATTTATTAGAAAAATTGAGGTTGTAAAAACCGAACTTTGAATCACTTAATTACAGATACTGGAATATTATATTAAAAACCAGTTCTCCCAAAAATTTAAGGGTTAAATAAAAATTGATTAACACATTATTATTATTATTACTATTATTATTATTATTATTATTATTAGTAATAATAATAATAATAATAGTAACAGTGGTAGGTAAGAGAGCTAATTTAAAAAAAAAAATTACAATTTCTTTAACTCACATGTTAAAAAAAAAGGCTTTGATAGCTATTCTGTCGCTCCAGATCAGAAAATTTACAACAACATTTATTTTTATTAGGATACGGTTTCATATTATGAATATTTTTTTAATTCAAAATACGGCTCTGTATTCTAATATTAATCGATTTGTTACACTTTTTTCATCTGCAGCAATAGCAGACACGAGCAAAAAAAAAAAAATGTCCATAAGTTCGCGTTTAAATGGACTAATAAAATTTCTAATTTTAATGTGTTCAAATTGTGAATAAACAGAGCAATTCGGGGTCACGACCAGTTTATGAGTTTATCCAAGACTAATGGAGAGGAATGTGTCCAACGACAAATTATTCTAGAAATTAGTCTTAAAAGACGGGAGATGTTTTACGAATAATATTTGACATAATTTAATAGAAAATAATTTTTTTATGTGGTAAGAAAATAATTATCCTATATTATAGAAATAAAATTATAAGTGAAATCTGTAGATAAAAGAGAAAAAAAAGGTTAGATCCATCTATTTTTTGTGTGAATAAAAAACTTAATTATCTCATGTAAAATAAGATAAATATAATTCAATATTATTTCTGCACCAAAAAATTAATCTACTCAATCTTAAGTCAAAATCTTTCTGCATAGCTCTCCATATATTTTATTTTTCTCTACTTATGTTTTACGAGTTACAAGTGAGATTTACTTTTATTTCATCATCATTCATCACTCCCACTTATTTTTATGTTATTTATGTAATTTGCACCTTTTTGTTTTTATTTATTTATTTATTTTATTTATTTATTGGTAAAGTTAATTCGGTGCCTCTTTTCTCGTGCACATAGATTCTCCGAAAAACCAGTTCATTCCAAAGAACACTTTTCCTATTTGCCAACTTTCCCGCATTATCTTTCTTACTTTTTTAGGATCACTCTTTTCAAAGCCTCTCTCTTTCTCTCTGTTCTTCCTTGGTCTCTTCTTTTGTGAACTCTCTTTCTCAGTTCTAGACACAAGTTGTAGAAAGCAGAACTTCCACCGCAAGACATGGGTACTTCTGACAACAACTTTCTCCAAGTTGTCTTCAAGAACTTCGATGTTCTTGCTCTGTACGTCTCTTTCCCTTCAAATATCAAATCTTCGATGCCATTACATGACAAGAATTCTAAACAAAATTTTGTTACTTTTTGCTCATATCACTGAAACCATTTTGATCTGAGCGTTACATTCTTTGTTTGGCTTTTTTCTGCAGGCCATTGGTAACCCTTGTTTACCCTTTGTAAGTAGGCTTCTTCTTCTTCTTCTTTTTGTTGTGTCTTCTGTTTTTTCGTATATTCAAGCAATGTATGTCTGAATGATCTATTTGTCTGCGCACCCTTTTGTCTTTGTGGTAGATATGCTTCAATTAAGGCCATAGAGACCAGGTCTAGTACTGATGATCAACAATGGCTCACGTATTGGGTTCTTTATTCTATGATCACACTCTTCGAGCTCACATTTGCCAAAGTTCTTGAACTGTAAGGTTCCTTGATATCATGTTATGCCTATGATATAAATTATTCAACTGTCGAATGTGTTTTCTGGTATTAGAGGTACAATGAGCCTACACTGGCCAACCACCTACTTTATAGTTGCTTCACATTTCAACTAACACCCTTGCCGGTCAAATTCATATGACATAAAGGATGATGATAAAGTGACGCAGTTGTCAAACTTGATGCCTTAGTCTTTAATTTCCCTTCTTCTTTTGTTGTTGTTTGATTATGTGAGGGCAAGTCTTGAAACAGTGGTAAGGATGTTTCTTGTGACTAGAAGGTCATGTGTGGGTTCGAGTCTAAGAAACCGTGTTTTTACAAAATTATAAGGGTGTTTTTACAAAATTATAAGGGTAAGACGGTGTACAATCGACCCTTATCTTTATCTTACAAATCAAAGAGTCTTGTGCACTGAGAATTGCTCTTTCGTTATTTGATTATTTGAGCAAACATGTTGGATGAGCATGAGTTTGTCTTTGAAAGGTTTTCTCTTTCGTATTCTTTTCTTGGCAAAATAAGATTTCGGAGAAACTTTCACTTCAGTTTGTCCAATATTTTTATGGTGCTAATTTCAGGCTTGCCATTTGGCCTTATGCCAAGTTGATACTCAGTTGCTGGTTAGTTCTGCCTCACTTCAATGGGGCTGCAGTTGTTTATAGGAATTACATTAGACCATTCTATATGAACCCGCAAATCCCAATTCCACAAGCTCCTCAAATCTGGTATGTTCCACGAAAGAAGAACATATTCAGTAAGCCAGATGACGTTCTAAGTGCTGCTGAGAGATATATGGAAGAGCATGGTACAGAAGCATTTGAAAGACTTATTAGCAAGGTACACATATTACCCAATGTTTCTTGCCCCCCTCCTTATGCCTTAGATAATTCTAAATTTACAAAGCTCCTGCATTTAATTATCAATTAAAAACAGAATTACAGATATTGTGTGTATTTTATTTTTCTTTGGAGATATTCCATTCGATTCATCGCTTTGCGACTAGTCCGATTTGGGACGGGTTCTGGGATTAAAGTTTTAAACCCCTTCCAAAGACGGTACTGGGAAGGATCAAACACATGTTCTTATCCCATCTGCTCAGTTCCGTAGCAGCAACTGAGCTACCATAGTCTTGTCCTTAGGGTAAATTTGGCTCTATAGTTGGTATATATTGTAAAGTGTCAAGTCAACTATTGCATTAATGCTTTTTATATTTCTCTTGCAACAATTGGGAGAGAGAAACAACTATAAGGAGGGAGAAACAAATATTAATGGACCCCACATCAATTGTTGTCTCCATAGGAAATTTTTGTGCTTTCCTGTTACATTACCAATGTATTATCCTTATTTTTATTACTAGAATGTGCCGTGAAAATCCAACTTGTGACCACTTAGTCACATCAGCTTTGATATCTTGTAAAACAATCATTTCACTTAAAAACTCAAATTGTTAAGTAAAAATCCATCAATGATTTTTTATATTATCTCTCTAACATATACTGGATACTCTAGGAATTTATCACATATCTATCTTACCAGTGCCATATTCGTTCTGTACAAGAAAAAAAATGAATTGAGCTAGTCAACCAGAAATTACAAACTGAAAATTTCAATTACAAGTTTAAAATACATGTGTTTTAGTCCTTCTCTTGCAGTAAATTTACAGGGCGATAGCCTTTTCCAGTTATGTTTGGGACAATATTGTTAATCATAAAAAATATAGTAACACTATGTATTGCCTTTGATGCGCAGAATGACAGAGAAGCACGAGCAAGGAGGAATGGAAATTACATGATCTTTGATGATGACTATATATATTGAACTTTGTTCACATGTCACTTTGGCAATGACTAATATTTTTATGGAATGACATATGAACTACTGTAGTAATTATAATTCCTTGTCATTAATTTGAAGTTTTTTTTTCTTGATTAAGTTACCTATTTAGCGTAATCTAAGAGTAGGCAAAGGAGTTTTTCAATGATTTTTTTCTGTTTCTTCGTTCCCCTCTATAGTAACTCCTTTCCAATCAAGATTTATCATTATTCTCTTATCGTAATCTTAGTTGTCTAAGAATATTATTAGGAACTAACAATTTATAGAATTACAATTTCAACAAGCATAAGGAAATCTTAATTTGAATTTAAAACTTTATAATATTTTTAAACAACTAAGATTAGGATAAGGAAAAATGATAAATCTTGATTGCTACAAGCTATGAAGCACCGACACTTCAAAAATTCTGACGTGTCGTGTCCGACACTCTCTGACATTCCAACACGTATTATAGAAATTCAAAAAAAAGTTCAAAGGTTGCGTTGCGTTGAATTTTTAGTTCCAACTATTAGATTCATTAGATTACGATTATCATTTTATTGAATTTGATATAAATATTTGGGATATCTTATGTTTCTTTGCAAAATTTATGAATATCATAAGTTTAGATTCTTTTTTGTTAAATTATTGAATATTAAATATAATATACACTACATAAATTTAAAATATTATTTAATATCAAAATGTGTTCTAACGTGTCGAAATCTAACATTTTTTAGAATTAACGTGTCGAAGTGTCGTGTCGTATCGTGTCACGTGTCCCGTGTCGGTATCGGTGCTACATAGGCTACAAGCCTACAATAACATTAGTAATAATTGACAGTTTGACTTTGATAATAGAAAAATCAAGAAGTTTCAAAAATTGAATTGATTTCTTTCAATTCTCACACAATTAGGGTGTGTATGACAACTTTCTCGGATTTAATTTTTTTTTAATTTCTGTTCTTGGGAACAGAAGGATGTGCATGACAACCTTTCCAGAATCAAATTTTTTTAATTTTTGTACACGGGAACAGAAATGGATAGAAAACTCGTTTGGTAAAATTGATTTTTTTTATTCCCAAGATAAGTCGGTTTAATTTTTGTGTTGGGCTACAAAAAAAAGAATAAAATTTTTTCTGTTTTTTTGGTTCTCAGACAAAAAATGAGAAACACTTATTAGTCTCTCTCAATCACTTTTCACCTCTATCATTATCATCACCACTACCACCATCATCCCGACACGACTATCGCCACCATCATCGCCGCCGCAGCCCGCAGTCGTACCACCATTATCGTCGTCACCACAATCACCACTGCCTCCACCCATCACTACGACCATGCCACTGTCACCACCACCACCATCGTCACCACCGCCACCAATCACCACAACCATTATCGCAGCCACCGCCACCATTCCACCACCGCCACCATCACCACCATCGACACAAACCATCACTATCATCGTTGTAACCACTGTTGTCATCACCACCACCATGCCATCACCATCACTATCACCATCACCACGTCAACGCCACAACAACCGCCGCCGCCGCCACCAACCACCACCATCATCGTAACAACCATTGCCGCCATAATCACCACTAACATCGTCACAACCAGCACCGTCGCAACCATTGACATCACCACCGCCACCGCCACTACCATCACTACCATGCCGCCGCCACTACCGCCACCATCACCACCGCCACTGTCGCAGCCACTAATGTCACCACCACCACCATCACCATCACTACCACCGCCACCGCCACCACCATTACCACCACCACCGCCGCCGCAACCACTGCTATCACCACCACCACCATGATGCCACTTCCATCACCACGTCACCACCACTACCATGCCGCCACCACCGCCGCCATCACCATCACCACCACTGTCACCATCACCACCACCACCACCACCATCGTCGCAGCCACCATCACCACCATTACCACCTCCACTATGTCGCCACCATTACCACCACCGCCGCAGCCACTGTCATCACCACCACCACCACACTGCCACCACCATCGCCACCATTACCAGCACTGCCGCCACGCTGTCACCACTGCCGCCACCACCACCATATAGAAAGGAAAGTGATGATCCAAAATTTTTTTATGTTTAATAGGAATTATTTTTTATTATATTATTTATTGTGTTATCAAACACAATTCTCATTCTCGAAAAAAATATAGAACATGTTATCAAACACATTTTTTTCTCAGAAACTGTTCTAAGGCACAGAAATAGAAAAGAATTGTTTCATTTCAGAAACAGTACCAGGGAATAGAATGGTTCTCATATACACCCCAACCTTCTCAGAAATAATTTTTTTTTAATTTTTGTTTCCGGGAACATAAATAGATAGAAAACTCGTTTGGTAAAATCATTTTCTTTTTTGTTCCCGGGATGAACCGGTTTAATTTTTGTGCTGAGAAACAGAAAAAAGAATCAAAGTTTTTTTTTTCTTTCTTGTTCCCAGGCACAAAATGAGAAACACTTATTTCTCGCAATCACTCTCCAGACTCCACCACTATCATCATCTTCACCACCACCATCGTCACCGCCGCCGTTGTACCACCAATGTTTTTATTTTACACTCCCCTTAATTTTTTTCAATATCAAGCCTAAATATAAGCTAATATTCAGTCATATATTTTTTAAGAACTTATTTTTGCCTCCATATATGAATAACCTTTGTCATAAATAAAGTTTTTCTTTTTTATTTTTCTAGGCGAGAGTACTAAAACAAAAAAAAGTATATCACAAAAGCTTAGTGACAAATAAAATACTACCTAATGGTAAAATAAAATAAAAAACCTGACCCGCGGGCCATCCCGCCACCAACCCATTTTGACCCACAACTAAGCGGGGCGGGTTGTTGGATTGAAAGGTATAACCCAACCCGTCCCGTTTTGGCGGGTTGACTCGTTGGGTTCATTCCTTATTGCCACCTCTAACCACCACTACCATCACGGTCACCAACCACCACCACCATCATCGCAGCTATTGCTGTCATCGCCACCACTTCCACCACAGTCACCAACCACCACTACCATCGTCGTAGCCACTACATCACCACACCACCGCTACAGTCACCAACCACCACCACCATCGTCGCAGCTACTGTCATCACCACCAGCACCATGCCACCACTACTACGCCACCACCACCGCCACCATCGCCGCAGCCACTGCCGTCACTACCACTACAACCACTGCCGCCATCACCACTACCACCACCATCGCCACCATTATCACCACCGCCGCCGCCACCACCACACCATATGCAAAGGAAAGTGATAATCCGAAAAAAATTTAGGCTTAATAAGAATTTTTTTATTATGTTATTTGTTGTGTTATCAAACGTAATTCTCATTCTCAAAATAAAAATAGAACATGTTATCAAACACATTTTTTTTCTCAGAAACAGTTCCAAAGTACAGACATAGAAAAGAATTGTTTCTTTTCAGAAATAGTATAAGGGAACAAAACGGTTGTCATGCTTATGCACACCCAAAATGGAAAGAAAACTCGTTTGGTAAAATCGGTTTATTTTTTGCTCCTATAATGAACCGATTTGATTTTTTTGCTAGGGAACAGAAAAAAGAATCAAACTTTTTTTGCTTTTTTGTTCCCGGGCACAAAATGAGAAACACTTATTTCTCTCAATCACTCTTCACCACTATCATCATCATCACCAGCACCATATCCCGACACGACAACAGGCACCATCGTCGGCGCCGTTGTTGTACCACCAATGTCGTCTTCACCACCACCTCCACCCATCGCCACCATCACCACCACCATGCCACCGTTATCACCACCACCACCTCCACCATCACCACGCCATTGCCACCACTGCCACCATCACAACGCCACCACTACCATCGTTGCAGACATTGCCATCACCATCACCACCATGTCATCTCCACTACCATCACCACGCTATCGCTACCACCGCTGCAACCATTATCGTCACCACCATCATGCCATCACCAACACCACCACAATCGCCACCACCATCGTCGCAGCCACTGCCGTCACTACCACAACCACCACTACTACCATCGCCATTGCCACCACTACTACCACCATTATGCCACCATCATCGCCATCATTACCACCACCATCGTCGCAACCACTACAGTCACTACCACCACCACCATCGCCACAACCATTGTGGTCACTACCGCCTCCACCACCACCACCACCATCGCCACAGCCATTGCCGTCACTACCGCCACCACACCATCGCCACAGCCATTGCCATCACTACCGCCACCACTACCACCATCACTGCCGCCACCACCACCACTCCATATGAAAAGGAAAGTGATGATCCGATAAAAAGTTGTGCTTAATAGAAATTATATTTTACATTATTTTTTATGTTATCAAACACAATTCTCATTCTCAGAATGAAAATAGAACATGTTATCAAACACATTTTTTTTTCTTAGTACTGTTCCAATGCACATAAATAGAAAAGAATTGTTTCTTTTCAGAAACTGTGTCAGGAAACAGAATGGTTGTCATGCATACCCTTAGTTTTCCAATTTTCCTTAAAATTCTCTTGTCTACTTATAGTTATTATTGGTCTAGAGAGATAGGATGAAATTAAACCAAATTCTCAGTTCTAACTTTAACACATGTCACACTTATAACACTGGATTTTTCCTGTAACAAATTCCCTGAGAACAATTACTAGGAATATGGTGGAAAAATGAGTTTGGTAGGAAAGTTAAAAACAAGTTGTTTGATAGGCCGAAATATTACCGGGAAAATTGAGTTAAGTTTACTGAATCTATGTTTGGTTGAAAGTAAAATATTGATGGGAAAATGGGTTAAAAATACGAAAATAACCCTTTTATAATTTCATTCTCAGTTATATTATCCGTCTTTAGATACCACAACTCGATGCAGATAATTATGAATGTTGTTGTATGTTCTATATACATATTTATCTTAAACTTGTTTCTCTTACACCTACAACTAATTGTTGCTGCTGATAATTATGCCACTTATGTCCCCAAAGCTAGTGAGGGAAAGCTGGATCTATGGCTA